TTTACCCGAGGATGCAAATAGGTGTGATTTTAAATTTTGTTTTTTAATAAGAAAAGAAAAAGGAGAGACAAAGCCAACCCAAAACAACTTACTTTTATTGGTTACAAATTCAGCCACACAGACTAGAAACAAATGTGTTTTCTTGAAAATACAGTTTTCAAGAATGATATAGTTTCTTTCAGAAATTCCATAATCACAATCACAATCTCAAGGCTTCTTAAAGCCCTCGACAGCATAATAATGAAAAAGGAAAGAAAAGGCAAATATAAATGAAAAGAAGTAATATTTTAAATCAAAATCAGACTAATCACTAAGTTTGCCTTAGGTATATAGTTAGAACACCAGATCCTCCATGATTATGTATTCATTTAACTCCACATAGTAGAAAATGTATCTGGAGCATAGGTCACATTGATCCAGTCAAGGGTAGAGTTGTTGCTTATAGATATAGTCTCTGGCAAGGGGACCAGGACACGAACAGCTGTTCCCACAGCTAGAAAGCCAACTGCTGCTAACATGGTGAGGCCTCGTCTGATTATAAGCTGGGTGGTGGAGAGGCGGCTGCTCATCTCCTGTTGCAGTGCTTGTCCAAACTTTATCTCACTTTTCCCGTCATGTTCCTGAGTCTTCACTGGTTCGTAGCCATCCTCTGACTTAAAAAGAAGAAAATATAGTCTAAGTTAGACAAGAGGTTTAGTTAATGTACAGCTATAAATAAAGTCGACTTACATTTCCACTATTTGCTGTTTGACCATTAGCTGTGCTGTCCCCATTTTGTAACAGGTCATCTGTACCTAACAATGTCAGATGAGTCTTTTTCTTTGCCCGTTTCACAGCCTGGGAACAAAAGCAAACATTGAGAAGAACAAACTCTGAGACCTAAACCTTTTGTTTTTGTTTGTTTGGTTGTTTTATTTGTTTTACGCAAAAAAAAAGGTATTCTGAAGTATGCTTTTTGTGTTGGAAAACTAACTCTGGATATGAGCCTGAATGTACCATCCACACCTTGAAACACAATGGTGGCAGGATCATACTGTGGTATAATCAAGTTGGTCAGAATTTTTGAGAGAATGAATGGAAAGCAAAGCCAGTTGCTAGTAGTATTTGTTCATGTTTTACTTTTTGTTGGTCTATATTAGGGGTGCAACTAATGCTTGTTTTGCTAGGCGATTAATCTGTTGATATTTTTTTTATTTTTTATTTATCAATTAACAATTGGGCAGCAGAAGCTTTGTAAAAGAAGGTTTTATATAGAGTTAAAGCCAGGTGAAACTAAAACAATGCCAACTGAGGAGTTCTAGGTAGCGCATATCAACAGACAAAAAAGGTTTTTCATACTGAATGCAAAACATTTATATACGTTTTCAAATGCTGGCATGATTACTGCTCTAAGTGGGTTGCTCTCAGGTAATGGCATGTTATAGAGTCTATTTAGTCGAGTTAATGATTAATCAGTTACTGAATTAGTTGACAATTATTTCAACTAATCATGATTAATCCTGATTAATGATTTCAGCCCTAGTCTATTTAATAAAGAACCATTTCAAGTTTTTGTTCATAACAAGACAAAAATTTTAAAATACTCAGGGTGTGTGCACCTTCTGTATTGTGGGTTGGGAAAATGCACAAAAGATATCCTGCATAATTACTGGCAGACTTTTTAATGTGAATACCTCCTCTGTCATTTTCTTCCAGTTCAACCTGAAGATCACAATAATATAGAAAGTGGAATGCAGGACAACACAAATGAGCAGCCCGAGCCAAAAGCCTGCGGAGAAGAGACAAATGGATCTGTCAGAAGCACAGCAGGCCTCACTTGTTAAACCCTTTCTTCCTGCGCAAACACTTACTCACATGGACAAAACTGTTGGTACCCCTCATATAATGAAAGGAAAACCCAAAGTGGTCACAGAAATAACTTGAATCTGACAAAAGTAATAAATACAAATTGTATAAAAATGAATAAATGAAAATCTGACAATGCTTTTCAACCATGCTTCAAAAGAATGATACTGAAAAATAGGCCTGGACAAAATGAATGGTAACCATAGAGAAGACTGAAAATAATGTGACCAAAGGGACATATCAGATCACATGTTAGCATCATACCACTGACTACAGTCAGTCAGCCTATATAGACCTACAGGTAATCACTGTGCTGTTAAGTGACATGGTGTGTACCACACTCAACATGGACCTTAGGAAGCGAAGAAATTAGCTGTCTCAGGAGGTTGGTAAGACCATTAAAGACTACCATGGTAAAGGTAAAGACTATAAGACCATCTCCAATCAGCCTAATGTTTCTGTGACTACAATTGAACTTATTAAGAACTTCCATGGGACTGTAGTCAACCTCCCTGGATGTGGCTGCAGGAGGACAAATTATAGCAAATATAAAAAGACGGATAATATGAAAGGTAACTGAAGATCCCAGAATAAACTCTTCAAGAGATTAAAAGAGACTTCAAGTTTAAACAACATTAGTGTCAGGTCACATCATCCGTGGTTTGAGCTAAAGTTTGACTTTAGCTCAAACCAAGAGACAACTAAGTAGGATACTATCCTAAAAAGCAAATAATAAAAAAGTCAGACTGGAATTTGCCAAACTACATGTTAAAATGCCACAAAGTTTCTGGGAGAATGTTCTATGGACAGATGAGACAAAAATTGAGAAAGAAAAAGAATGATGGCTCTACTGTGAAACATGGGGGAGGCTTCGTTATGTTGTGAGGCTGCTTTGCTTCATCTGACACAAGATGTCTTAAATCTCTACAGGTTACAATGGATTTTCAAGAATATCAGTGGATTCTAGAGAGGAAAGCTTGTTCTCAGTCACAGGTTATGGGTCTTTAACATGATAATGACCCAAAACGCACAGCTGAAAACACCCAGAGGAAAACATTGGACTACTCTGACGTGTCCTTCTATGAGCCCCGACCTAAATCCTATTGATCATATGGAAAGAACTGAAACATGCTGTCTGGAAAAGGAACCCTTCAAACCTGGGACCAATGGAGCAGTTTCTAGATGAGGAGTGGGCCAAAATACCTGCTGAGAGAAGCAGAAGTCTCACTGAGAGTTACAGGAATTAATTGAGTGATAGTATTAAAAGGTCGTAAAACAACATGTTAGGTTAAGTGTACTGTAATTTTTGCCCAGGCCTTTTTCATGATTTTATTTGTTCAAATCATTCCATTGAAAAGCAATGTCTGATTTCTGTTTGTTAATGTTTACAACATTTTTATCTATTATTAATTCAAATATTTTTATTTAACTTTTGTGGGTTTTCTTACATTAAATAAAGATTACTAACAATTCTTTCCATGTGCATATTTGGCCCAACTCATGATGAAAACAGCAAATTACATTAACTTATATATTTACCTAAAACTCTCAGCTTTGCAATAAACATTAAAACCACACTCATTGTAAGCCCTACGCAGTAGTATGCAATGAAATTCGCTACAGCTGGTATCCTCTGTTTGCCTGTGCCCAAGAAGATACCTGTGCACACACACTGAGATAGAGGAGAAACACAGGTGATACTTGTGTCATCGTGCAGCACATAGATATGCTCTGCATATAATACAGGCTGATGGACTCACCACAAGACCATCAAAGAGCTGGAGAAAGCAGTACGCATTCATCAAGTTTGACACAATATCTGCAATATTCCTGCAAAAAGGGTTTGTATTTAAAAATCTCCTTCCCATTACAGCAACATTATTACAAATTAAATAATGTAAATAAATAATAAATAAAAACTACACAAACTCACTCATCAGAGGTGAAGATGTAGCCAATAACGGTTTTAGTGCAGCCAAGCACAATACCTTCAACAAGAGCAAACGTAACTGCAAATAACAAAATAAAAAAAATAAGCAAACTACACACAACTAATAATAATCACCAGATTATTATTTTGGTTCAAATTAAATATTACAGCCTGATATTACCTGCAAGACCGAGTGATAACTTGCTGGCGAGCAATGCCCTGGCAGTGTCTCCTGCACCTAATGCATTACCCACACGGGCGCATGCGGCAGCTTGGATTCCAAGAGGGAACTAAAGATTTCAGATTATGGAAACTTTTAAGACAAGTATGTAACACAGGAAACCTTTGTGTGGGAATGATTTGGCCAAACTCCAACTTCTAAGGAATGCTGTATTTTAACCACCCTGAATCTGAAATTTTAGAACTCAATTGACAATACCATGTAGGTGATGAAAGCAATCATTATCACAGCATGTTGGGCTGCCAGTTCATCCTCACTCAGCATTCCTGTATGTGCGAAAAATAAAAACAGAGAGGCATACTGCTCTGGATTTTATCTGACATTATATGGAGAAGAGGGATGTGGTTGATAAAGTCTGTGTGAAGTAAATTACCTGCAAAGAATCCTCCAAACTCATACACCCACCACTCAAAGCATGTCATTAACATGCTGGGGATGGCCAGTTTCATGTAGGAACCCCACTCCTGCAGTGATTCAACAGACCAACCTGCAGGGGGAGGGATACTCTTATTTATGCTCAATGAGTTATATGAACCCAAACAAACAGTGCATGAATGCAGCAGTTTAAAGAATCTTAAGCTGCTTACCTCCCCATGTTTTTACATGAAGCTTCTTCCACCAGATGTAAGCAAACAAAAAACTACAGATGTAAATCTGAGAGAGTGCATTCGCTGCAGCAGAGCCACTGGAAAAGATTCACACCACAGTTGGGAAGCTGTTAATGGAGGTTGATATTTTGGCACATATAAAAACACCTACCCAACTCCCAGATCCATCCAGTAAAGGAAGGCATAGTTTGTCACCAGGTTGACAATGTTTGCCAAAACAGCAGTGTACAACTGTGGCATGATTATTCCCTAAAAAAAACAGGTGGGTGGAATTACAACATATGCAGATTTATAAAAATTCTTTGTCTGGAAAAAAGAAATACAACAACATACATTACCTGGTTCTGCAGATAGGACACCTGGAGGTTGTAAAGAAACATAGCCTAAAAGATAAGGTCAGAGTGAAGCTGCCTTTAGACTTTGGGATAAAGAGTCTGTATTCAGTGCCTTGCAAAGTTATCCATGACCCCTTAATGTGTACACGTGCATTTTGCAACAATGACATCCTTTTAGCGTACATGTTTACCATCTCACCCCATCATTCAGATTCAAAGGAGAGCATCTGTGACCCGTAATTTTAAGGATTTTGATAATACTGTTCTAATGTATGACTATTCTTTGATCTAAAACAATTAAATAATTCCTGTCTCAGCTTTGGACCAATGTTTAAGGTTGTTGTCTTGCTGGAAAGTAAAGCATTTACCCACTCTTATATCTGTTACAGTTTTTGTTTTTACAGGTTTGAGTTTCAAGTTTACTGTAGGCTACAAGGTTAAATTTTAGCCTAAGAAGACCAAAGGACGTTCTTCCACATGTTTGCTCCTGGTATGGCAAACATTTATTTTTAGTCATTTAACCTTTATCAAGGGAAAAAGTTTGAGAATTACTTCTCATTCACAAAAAAAAATGATAACAGGATTTCTCTCACTCTCTTGCGCCTTCGGAAAAAACATAAATTGTTTGGCTAGCCTTGTTCTCTTTGCAAGATTGATCAGTGGATGATAAACCACCATTTCCCCATTTTCAATTATCGACTTCTACTCTCATCTAGTTGTGAGTGGATTTTACTTTGGAGTATTAGAGAAAAGGGGAAGACTTACAATGCAACCCCGTTTTTGTAATTAAAACACTAATTTCAGTTTCCAATAAATTTGCAAGTTTCCAATAAAAACATACTGTATAGTGTTTTTTATTGTAACATGCTAAAAAACAGAAACAAGTTTAAGGAGAATGAATATGTTTTAACAAGGAACTGTATGCTTCATATAACCATATAAGTACATGCTTAGAGAATCAAAGAAAAGTAAAAACTTACTGGTACTGCAGGAATAAAAGCTGTGATATACAGCTGGGCTACTCTAAAAAAAAGCCAGAAAAAAAGACCCCCAATGGTATTTAGATAGAGATTGTTTAATGAACTTTTTTCGTAAACATACCTCATATATTAAGGAATAGATTTTACTTTATAGATAAGAAATGATTACATATGCTTTGAGTTTTACATATAGCTTGAGTTGCATTTGGTTACCTAGCTACTTCCAGTTCTTGTCCCATGCACAACAAGATTTGCTCAGCGTTAATGAGCAGCCCCCAGCAGGGCAGACAGAACAACATCAGGATGATGATGCCCCGCTGCAGGATCACTCCCACTCGTAGCAGGTTCTTCCCCCCAAATGTCTGGCAGCATCACACAGACAGCATTAATCATTCAGTGATAGACAGTAATGAATAGTTGGGATGTGAAGTGAGTTTTAGTCAGTCAACAAATATTAACATTAAACAGAGAGTTATGAGGTTTGCAAACCTGGGCCACCAATGTGTCACAAGCCAGACTCAGACCACATCCTGTGGCTGCTGTAGTAATATTAATGGCCTGAAATAAATTTAAAACATACTTCAATCAACATGTTCTACAAACTTCAAATGTACCAATATATGAAGGAATAAAGATAGTTTCAATAAATTACAACAGAATTTTTAGTGATAGCAGAAATTCAATGTAAGCATGAAAAAAACTGAACCTATTTCTATTCATATAAACTTCCAAAGCCTATGAAGAATATAGAGCCTGGGCACTTACTGCAGAAGCTAATCCATAACCTGCCATCACATCGTTTCCCAGGCGCCCACAGAACATTGTAACAACAAATGGAAGAAGGTACTGGAGAATTCGGGAGCAGAGCTACAAACACAAAAAAAAAAGATGAATGGAAAGGGTAGCACCAACACATTTCTAAGTTATTATAGCATATTCATCCAATAGAACTCTAAATACACTTTTATTTTTTGTCACACACAGGGGAAGGGGGGAAAAAGTTCTAAACAAGAATCTGCATTGAGTGACAGTAAATGAAAACACTTCATTATAACTCAGTTTAAAATAAAAATCAAGATCTATTGTTAGAAATCAGAACACTTCTGCAGCACTCTTTCTTACCAAAGGTCCAGTCATCCTCAGGATGTGGTAGAGCTCATCTCTGTAGGCTATGGGAACCTTGTTGCGCACCCATTGGCAGCAAAAAAGCTTGTCACTGGATGTATCCATGTTTTCAGCACCATGTGTTAATACAGGCTATTTCAATTAAGCAAATGTCCTGTTTGTCATCTGCTGGTGTTTGATGCTCTCTAGGGACAGTTTCCCCAGCTGCTCTGAGAAGGCGTTTCAACATTTTAAAAAGTTACTAATTAATATATTCAAGATCAGCTTAACACTGTCAGGTCCAAATTTCTGTGGGAAAAAACAATGAGACAAATCATACGATGTTTTATTTACCGTATGTTATAATATATATAACCTAAATATAATATAAATAAAATTGTTTATTTCACTGCTCATTTACTGTCTGAAAGGTTTACAAAACAAAATTTCAGTTGTCATACACACTGTGTATACAAAATGACAATGAAAGTTGTCTAAGTCTATATTTACTATAATGTCTTGTAAAAGTAGTTATACCCTTTAAACCTCTTACACTGTTAAAAATGTTATGGAATAGACAGCTTAAAGTAGAACATGACTGCCAATTAGATAGATAATCATACATTTCGTATACGAATATGCTTACAGAATATATATATATATATATATATATACATATATAAACATAGCCTCTTCGACTCTTCACAACCACTATTGAGCATTTTTTCTTTGGATAAACTTTACATGCACAAGTACACTTTGACAAACAACAACAGGTGCTTGGTTCTAGGTACTTAGATATTCACTTCCATACAGAAATCCCACATTCTTATTTTTAGTTAACACAGAATACATGTCAGATTAAATAATACTACTTATACTTCAGCCATAGTATCAAGGTGTTACTTTATTGTATGTCTCATACCATGTCCGTTGGTTGTGCTGTTTTTACAGCTCTTTGCAGGTGATGAAGCAGACTGAAAAGGTTTTTATCATTATCTCCCTTTAATCTCCTCTTTCTTTCATCTTTTCTCTTTTTTCTGTTTTTCTCTTCCTGTTCTACCTACATTGCAGTGTCCATATAATCCGTAAAACTCCCTGCATAATTATAATAAAGCAATTTATATGCATAAATCAGGTGGAACACTACTTGTGAAAGTAAAATCTGTTGGGCTCTTTTTGGCATCAAGACAATTATTCTTATTGCCACATTGCCAGCCAGGTCACTGTAAAAAAGAAAAGAAAAAAGAATGGGGGTCGTTTGGTTCCATTGTTAGTCTGTAAAGACAGGGGGGTCGTTAAAGGGGACTGTTCACCTGGCTGGGTATCCAGACATTTTGAATTGAGAAAGCTGCCTGGATGGGTAGTGACACGTCTTCAAACTTGGAAACAAAGTCCAGTGGATTGTCATGCAAGGCACTGCATGTGGGCACTAGATGTTAATTTAATATGGCTATGGCTATGAGTAAACTCTACATTTTATTGCAATCACATTAAAACCAATTTTCACTAAACAGCCATAACTTACCCAGTCTTCACCCCTGTTGTGGTGGATAATATAGGATCAGAACAAAGAATTAAAGTCATGATTATCCATAGCTGCTCCCTGCATTTTAATGGTTACACCAAGTTCCTTTGAAGAATGTAGATAATCCAAACAAGTGTACATCCTTCTGTACTGACTTGTAAATGTAAATGTTTTGAAGCATAAAACATTAACGTGTCAGATGGCTCATATTCCCTCAGGTGGGTAGTAGGTTAACCAGTCAGTTCTTTGGCAACATCTACAAAGGGGATTGAAAATTGTGCTGATGAAAAAAACACCACAACGAAAGATAATCCGCAGACTATCTGGTGATGTTCAATAACATATTGCTACATATGCATATAATTTGTATTATGTTGTAAAGTTCTGCACTGAGTTTACTTTATGTAATTGTCATTTCAAAGACAATCAATTTCACTTGGATTCTCTCTACCTTTATCTTAGTTTGTTCTTCTTTATCCTAACAGTGACATCCTGTTTTATCATGGGACTGTTCCTCATGTTTTGGCATGCATATTTAAAAACTGATCTTTGAGGCATCTCAGTTAACGCCAGTTGTGCATTTGCAGAATGGAACGTGCTGTGAAACATAAGCTTGTTTGAGATTACTTTATAACAGTTTCATAATTTTGATAGTTCACTGAAGGTATTTCCATAGATTTTGCTGTATCTCAACTCCTGTACTTTGAAATTTATGGTTGCTGAATGAGCATTGATCTGTTTACAGAATATAAAATGCAGATGTAGTATTTGGTTCCACATCTTATTTATAGGAAAATACATATTTATCTGTGTTTTGGAAAATGTAAAGCCACAGGGAAAAATTACTAGTATTCACATTATTAAGTTATTCTCACTTTGGTTTTACACGTGTTTTATCATGTATTTATAGCAACAGTAACTAACAAATTTGATATTTAAAGAGAAATTGTTCAAGAGTTGTCATTGAATCCCACCAATCTATCACATTTTGAAATGCTATGCTTTGAGGATTTAGTACAAAACTTTGTAGCTTTCATGTCTACAGAGATCTTTACCTCATTGTACTCTAAAAGCATCCTGTCACAGATGTAAAAAGACTTTTTATCAATTTGCAAAATGCAGCAGCCAAAGTTCTTAAGAAAATTAAAAAGAGAGATAATATTTCTTCTATCCTAGCGCATCTTGATTGACTTCCTGTTAAATCCAGAATAGAATTTTAAATCCTCCTTCTCACATCTAAAGCATTAAATTGCAACGCTCTGTCTTATATCAGAGATATGATTGTTCCTTATGTTTCTAACAGAGCACTTCGCTGTAAATTTGCAGGTTTACTACTGGTTCCTAGAATTTCTAAAAGTAGAATGGGAGGCAGATCTTTTAGTTATCAGGTTCCTCTACTGTGGAACCAACTACCAGTTTTAGTCCGTGAGGCAGACACCCTGTCTACTTTTAAGGCAAGGCTTTAAACTTTCCTTTTTAATAAAGCTTATAGTTAGAGTAGCTCAGATTATCCAGAGCTATCTCTATAGTTATGCTGCTATAGGCTTAGAATGCGGGAGGACATAGGGACCCCTTTTCACCATTCTGCTTCATTCTATCTCTATTCTCCAATTCTGCAGAATTTGTTTGTTCAATCTGTAATGTTATGCTCTCTCTGCTTTTTCTCATCATAGTCTTCATCTGGTCTGTTTCTGTTTGGGTGTGACACCATCCAAGAGAGATATTAGCTGTACTGATCCCTTCAACAACATTGTTTATAGATGTTGGGCTTGGCCTGATTTTCAGTGTAGTCCTGTTACTCTTACAGTGACTGCTTACAGATACTGTACTCTGTCAGGGAAGCTGGCTCAGAGCTTTTCTGCCTGGCTGTGTGTTTCCTGGATAGGGCCATCTGTGGAGCTGGTTGACACTTGCCTTTTGTATCTCTGCTTCTTTTTCTATGTCTGCTTCTGTCACCTTGAACTCCGGTCAGCCTCTGCAGATTGCCGCTCACACTGAGCGTGGTTCTGCTGGAGGTTTCTTCCTGTTAAAAGGAAGTTGTCCTTCCATTGTCTTTACAAGCATGCTTGTGTGAGGGATTGCTGTCGAGTCAATGAGTCGATGTAATCAGCTGGTTTTCCTTAGATAGAAAACTTTGAATCAATTTGACTGTATGATCTGGTTGAATTGTCTCTGTAAGTTTCCTTGAGATGACATGTGTTGTAAATGTAAATAAAGTGAATCAAAATTGAATTAAATGATCAACAATTGTGCAATCCAATCTGCTGTAATAATATGCATGATAGTACATTTAATGATTCTGATGATTCTGGGTTTAAAATTAGACACCTAGAAGGATTTTAGAGACTTTGCAAACTACTGCATTGAATTTAAATAAGTAATACATCTGAGAAAATCTGCTTATACTGTATGCTGTGCTCAGTTAAAGATTCTCTTTCATGCCCTCTTTCTCAATCCTTTAAGTCAAACACAAATAGTGTTAATGAGCTACAGGGTTAGCTGACAGTTCTGCCAGACACATTTTAAATAAAGACAACCAACTTTGATTATGGATACATGCTAACCATTTGAAAAGCAGTTATATGTGAAGGATGTACTTTACAGCAGAAATTGTGTCGTCTGTCAGTAGCCCTCTATTTCTGAAGCATATTGAAAATTAGGTTCCGTTAAATATTGATAAATTGGGCTTTGCTGATTTAGTGATAGCAGTGAAAGATTTTAGCTCTGCTATGAGGGGACATGGCCTGTCATATCTGATGCCAGCATGAGATGTAATATGCTGACCCACTCTTCCTCAGGGGATTTGAGATAATTGCTTCCTGAAAACCTTCATTTTTTTTCTTTAGCTGAATGTAGATTTCTGCAGCCAGTTTTTAAATCTGTCTTATTCCTGATAATATTAGCTGGGTTTATCTAAAATAAATAAATAAATAAATAAAAGTTTTATTAAGATTGTTAACAGCTCATAAGAGATTTATGTTAAAAGATTCATGTTTAACTTAAAAGTGTCTAGTACAGGTTTGCCCTACTGTAACATTCCTGTCCTTAAACTATTTTTAACCTTTGATCTGCTACAGTGCCTCCCTACTCCGTTTCAGTGCATTAAAAAATACGCTCCAATTTTTTTAGAAGAAATTCTCTATAGTCATGAATAACAATAAGGCTTTTATAGAGGTCACTGGAGCGAAAGGAAATTTACTTGGTGCAGACTGGAGGATAACTACAGCATAAACTGAGCTGATCATACAATGAGTTCTTTGATCAAAACATGGAAAAAGTATGGTTTTAAAAATCAACACATTTAATTTCAAAATATGCTCAGAGTAAACAGGTCAGAAAGGAGGACTGGATCATCAAAAATATCTATGGCAAATAAATATTGCCCAAACCAATGGGTAGGGTCATAAATAGAGCAATAAACCTTTGGAATGTATGAAAAAATACAATAATATAATTTGTATGTAGGTTTAGTCCAAAAATGCCAGAGTTTAAATCTTTTAACTTTTGTTTGTTTGCATCATAAAACAGCCATTATGAGGGACTCTAGCATAATTAGGCATTTTATTAGTATTTTTCCGGCAGTCTACCAGAGAATTGCTCCATTTGATGTTGAACCATGTGTCTAGTATGTTTACAAAAAGGAACAATAAACATTCACAAGAAGAGATGAAAAACCCATAAAAGCCTAACAAGTCCTCATTAAAAGCTTGATTTGGCTTAAAATGTTAGTTGAATAATGAGCAGATGCTTTATGTGTTTTGTTCTTCTGTT